CTCATTTGTAATTGCTGTTGAAATTCAGTAGGATCAACATGCGCAACATGCTGGGCTGGCTGCTCAGGCAGAAGTGATTCTGCGACCAAATATTGAAGTACAAAGTTTTTAATTGTACCTTTATTGTATGAGCTTTTGACTGACAGGCCAACATGTTTTGCAATTGCCAGAAGTTCAGTTTTCTTTAAATCATCAAATTCCTCCAAAGAGGGCGCTTCTAAAAATGTCTCAACCTCAAAACTCATTTTCGATTAATTGCTGTCTTCACAATTTAAATATATAAATTTGGAATTTGGAATTTTAAGATTTATGAATTTTAGCTTGTTGTAGTTGTATCCCGGACGAGCCCCCAATTTCTGTTACGTACGAAAATAACAGAAGGTAAAAACAGCAATTAAAATATGATAACAATATATTTATATTTTGAAAACTAAATAATATAACAATAATATAAAGGAGATTTAATACTTATGTGATGTCCAATCAATGATACGGCTTATTCTTGATGTCGATAAATGTCGTTGACGATCCTTGAGAATGTTCCAGATCACGAAATGTTTCAATAATCGTTAATAGTTCTCCAATGTTTGTAATATTCCAATAATGTTTGTTGTAATCCTATAATGTTCGTATCCAATAATGTTTGATGATAATCCACAAATGTTTGATGATAATCCACAAATGTTTATGATAATCCACGAATGTATATGATATTCCGTATATAGTGTTTGTTGCAATATATGTCCATATAAAAGTCCTCAGGTTGTATGTTTGCACTGTTATAAATGTTCCCAAAGTAGGTGTCTGTAATTTTCTGCTAAGAAGATGTCCTTTTGATCAACTTTGAAATTCTGCTGACAGCCCAAATCAGCTCTCTCATTATATAGTGCAAAGGCATAGTCCAGATGTTTCAAGAAGTTACGATTTCTAGAAAATAACACTGATTGGACATCTTAAGTCACATGATTCAATCTTGATTAAATGATTACAGTTCCAGTACTTTCTGGAAGGCCAAGAGTTAATGAGTCATTCAGTTCAGTTATGTTTACAAGATATAATGTCATTGTGACCTTGACTTGACCTAAGATCTCTAATGAAGATCAGTTACAGTATATGCATATTGATAAACTAAACTTAATGTGAATATAATAGAATATAATACTGTAACACTATCATTAAACAAATATCTTTCAATATAATATTAGATCGATATCGAACGGTCTCTAGCGGAAATAATAAAGATAATCGGGGACAACATATCATTCAATTCGCGAGGCTCCACTAGGGAATTTTGCAATATTGTTTACTGATTTTATTTGTTTATTGATTCTTGGTTCATTTAGCGATCTTTACCGTAAACTCTCCAATAACAATCCATTCCATTATTATACTCCGTTCTGATGTTGCAAATTAGTCATATTTGCCATACATGAAATTCCCGGTGATTTTTTACTTCTTCCATATATCCTGAGACTAATAGAGCGCAATGTTCTCCCCAGGATTTTATCTCAAGTGGGTGCAAAATTCTTATTTCATAATTTAGACCAAATTTGGAAAAATATGCATATTTTTCATGTTTTTCTCATTTTCAAGTGGGTGCAAATTGATTCTCAGGTGGGTGCATGCCTATTACCAAAATCTCAAGTGGGTGCAGCGCAATTGCTGCTGGGGAGATGACTACAGTGTAATATCTTATTATTGCGCTGGTAAGTCATACTGTCCTCTCAGTTTTATGCAAAAAATAATCTCAAATTATGCGATGGAATTTTTTAAATTGTGGATATTATGCAAATTGATGCGATTTTCCTTTTGTTGAATTATGCAAAAATATGCGATCGATTTAACACAAGAAATGAATGAAATGATGGCTTCAGTGCTTCATAATTCTTTCACGGCATAGGTGCAGTGAGATAAACTGCCGGATCCAGATCGTTGTCCGCAAAATACACCCCATCGCTGAGCTTCCGCTAAAAAGTTTTGAACGTAGAACTATGATTTCTTTTAATTTTGTCATCATTTTTTTGATAAGGAACTGTTCCAGTAAGACATATTAATTCCAGGTTAATCTATAAATCAATGGCCGAGTTGGCATTTTTTGCAAGTAAGTGGGGATTTTTGTCTTTTATGCAACTTTATGCGCTTGTGTGTGGATTATGTGGGCCAAGGTAAAATATGCGGAATTATGCTGTGGGCGCGTAATCGCATAAAACTGAGGGGACAGGTCATAAGAATAAAAATAGAAATCTTTACCATCTGGTTCTCTCAAATAGCTACCTGGAAAATTCACGAAGTAGTGAAACAACTACCGGATTTTCTCGCATATAAGCCCTGGGCGTATAACTGAAAGAAGGGGGTAATTTCGTCTGTTATTTTACCTCTTATTTTTCGCCCATGGGCGTATAAGTGAACTACTTTCGATTTTTGGCCCAGTGGGCGTAAAGGTGAGAAGAGCTGATGAATACAATGGTTCCTCAAAGACTACCGTACCTACTGTTGTAGTCCTACCGCATGTTTTGTAAGAATTATAAAGGAAATGTCACCTACAACCTTGGACTTAATGTTGAAACAAAGTAACAACAGAACGATCCACCACTGCCACTTACGGCAAAGCGTTGAACTTAATGTTGAAACAAAGGAACGACAGAACGATCTGCCAGTGACAAAATACTCTTGAATTTATTGAAAAAATCTATAAATAGTCATTTTTTATAGGCCCATGGGCTTATAAGCGTACTACATTCGATTTTTGGCCCATGGGCCTAAATTTAGGGGGGCGTATATGCGAGAAAATCCGGTACCTGATAAAAAAAAGTTAAGCCTGATTCCTGATAACTTGAAGACGGTTTTTAAAAAAAAGTTTGGTTAATTTAGAGCAAGTTGAAATTTGACCTTAAAAAATTTCGAAATTTGACTTTTTTCGGTTTTTAAGTTCTAATATCTCAAAACTGGTGCAAAATTTTAATAGATAATCAATAGCTAATATGTGTAGAACCTTTAGAGGAATATATATCCTGACTTTCATTAAAAAATATTGATTTGTAGTCACCAATTCTGAGAAACTTAGAAAACACAGTTTGTGATTTAGCTTGATGAACTTGACCTTTGACTTGCAAATTTTACTTTTTAGACCTCAGTATGTCTTTTGTGACTTAATATACCTAAATTTAAATCCAGAAAATCGATTTGAAAAATCAACTTTTTTGACCTTTCGGAGGTTACTGAAGGTCATTTAAAGGTCAAAAAGAAGGTCAGATTTGGAATCCTGCGAACTAGTAGATGAGTTTTAAAAAAAAGTTTGGTCAATTTAGATCAAGTTGAAATTTGACCTTGAAAAATAGCTAATATGTGTAGAACCTTTAGAAGAATATACATCTTGACTTTCATTAAAAAATACTGATTTGTAGTAACCAATTCTGAGAAACTTAGAAAACGCAGTTCGTAATTTAGCTTGATGACCTTGACCTTGCGAAATTACCTTTTTAGGCCTCAGTAGGTATTTTGTGATTAAATATACCTAAATTTGAATCCAGAAAGTCAATTTGAAAATTTGGTCAATTTAGAGCAAGTTGAAATTTGACCTTGAAAAATTTCGAAATTTGACCTTTTTTTCAGTTTTTGAGTTCTAATATCTCAAAACTGGTACACAATTTTAATAAATACACCTATAGTCAATTGCTAATATGTGTAAAACCTATAGAGGAATATATATCCTGACTTTCATGAAAAAATATTGATTTGTAGTCACCAAAACTTAGAAACTTAGAAAACACAGTTTGTGATTTAGTTTGATGACCTTGACCTTTGACCTTGCAAATTTTTTTTAGACCTCAGTGGGTCTTTTGTGATCAAATATACCTAAATTTGAATCCAGAAAATCAATTTGAAAAATCAACTTTTTTGACCTTTCGAAGGTCACTGAAGGTCAACCAAAGGTCAGAGGTCAAAAGTAAGGTCAGATTTGAGTTCATGAGAACTTGTAGATGATTTTTTTTTTAAATTGGTCAATTTGAAGCAAGTTGAAAAAAAGACCTTTTTTGACCTTCAAGATCTCAAAATCTAGGCAAAATTTGTCCAGACGGCAAAAGGCTCACACCAATAGAATACTAATATCTATCTCTCTGCAAAAATTCAACCTAAAATATTGAAGTGTAGTGTCAGGATTTGAGAAACTTATAAAATTTGACTTAGATTTTGAAAATATTGAACTTCAGTTTGGAAACCACAAAAAATGACCTAGATTTGACCTTGACCTTTGACACTCAATTGAACTGTTTTGACTTATTTCAAAGTCAAGTAAAGATTAAAAATTTGACTGATTTTTTTCAAACCAGAAGTCAGATCTCAGCAAAGGATTGGTATCCATCGATATGGCGATTTGAATACAACAATTCAAACCAATTACTGAAAACATTCTGTAAAAAACAATGTCCTTTTTGTAATGGTCACTGATCCACAACAATTTAATGCGAAGATTATTTCTATATATTTCATATTATTGTTTTTGTGAAAAATTTTTGGTTTTTAGTGCAATAATGATTTTTGTTCTTTTCTACTTATTCTTGAGTATGAAATAAAAGATCTTTTCGAACCTTGTTCACTGGTACTCACCTTGTTACACTGATGTATCGTGTATTTCATTTTGTTCCAATGAGGTTCGGATAGATGTTTCATTTCATTACGAACATATGATCCCAAGAACATAAGAAGTGTCTGATGTGTTTTCCAAAACAAAATAGAGAAAAATATATACATATTTTTTAAATTATATTATTACCATTCAAAAGATGATCATTAAATTGATGATGTGTAAAATTTTCAGGAATTTTTGTTGACTGGTTTAAGAGAACCATATGTTCAATTCAGTTCGCCATCTCGATACCAATTCTCTCCTGTTAAATTGATACCATTCTCCATGTATTTGGAGAACTTTTGTGTTGACCTAACTTTGAGACGCAATATCTCAAAATCCGAAACAATAATCAAACTGCTTTTCTTCTTACCCATACAGACTTCACAGCTTCTTTATCATCAGCCCCTGTGGGTAACTCTAGGTGGAGATCTCCCCCACTGGAAAACATTTCAGTAACCTGAAAAACAAGAATGACAATATGATATCAGTCAATGGAACATGTAAGATGTAACTGGATGTAAAATCTGATTAGATGCATAGCACTTAAACTCTTAACCTTTAGCAGAGCACCGGCGACCGCGTCCGCCCATTCAAAATTACCGCCAGAATCCACCGGCGGATCCGGACGACACAAATCTAACTTTTGAAAACTTTACTTTTTCCCGCCGTTCTTATTATCCAATTAGATTGCCCGATTTATTCAGTCCTTAGTAGGTGACTTCCTGTTGACCTAGAAATGCCGATGTTTCGAAAAATATTTCTCAATTCAACAGTTTAAACAGTGTTTAAGTCGTTTTTAGTGAACAAATCGTACAAAATGACGGCCAAATATGATCACAACGAAAATGTGGAGGAAATGGATTGCGATTTTGAGCTCTTTAGGCTCTTGGAAGCCGATAATGGTCATCGAAAATAGAAACTAGAATATTTTCTGAACTGAAAAGAAGAACATTCGATCGCTGCAAATTCAGTTTTGGATTCTGACCAGACGTTGAATCTCCCGAGGGGCGAAACGGCGGATTCCGGAGGAGTATTTATGGTATATTTATGCCCAGTCATGTTTATGTTCGGAAAAAAATCATGAGAACATTTTTCTCATGAGCCACGCTAGTGTATCTTCCCTTTGTGGAAATTTTATCCAGATTCATTCAGTAGTTATTGAGATATTAATTATTTAGTCCAGGCATATCATTTTTGAAAAATAAGTCAGATGCGTGGGATATATTTGCTGAAATAAGTCAGAGTGCAGAAGGTTAATGAGTAAGCTCCGGCAGTTTTATATAAGTTTGAATTAAATCAAACTGACCCTTAATTTATCATGTATTCAATCTTTTTAACATAATGTAAATTTATATAAATATAGGGGTTCGATTGATCTACATCAAATTATAGGGAGTCAGGTTACTTTTTGAGATATCAGCGTCCATTTATTGTAACTCGCGTTTGCTACCATCTCCTCAATTCTGAGATGACGGGCAAACGCGTAGTAAACATGATCACGTAGGAACTATTTTGACCTACATCGCTATTTTCGTAATTCAAATGAGAGTTGCACTCCTCCTCTTTAATTTGATACCAAATAATGGCATACTAGGTACCCTAGAAGCCAACTATGGCATTATTTAGAACAAAATCACAGGTCTTTAAATGGACTTAATATAGGGGTCATACCTTTTGGCGGTTCAATCAAATCTTCGTCCGATTGGACAAAAAAGTATCATAAATGATAGGTCTCCAGCCCTTGCATTAGGTTAGAAAATTTGTGAGTCCCAAGGATGCAATTTTTTTTAAAAAGTGTGTCCTTTGAAAAAAAAGTGTGTCCCCTATTTCTAGCCTGTTTTGAGGTATAACTTTATTTTAAAAGCATTTTTTACCAAAACACCTTTCAGTTTTTGATTTCTTGCCACGAATTTAAAACGGAAGTAAACGTTAAGTACGACTGAATAAATGCATGTTCGTTCATTCGACAATGAATACATTTTATTTCATGAATAACCTAATATTTGTTTCTGAATAGGAAAAACTGTGGCGTGTCATGGTTTCAAATCTAAAACCAGAACAACTGCAACGCCAAAGCGTAGCGAATCCCATCGAACAGAAATGGCTGGCATTTTTACAAACGAAGCGCAAATATCATAAAACAACACACCAGAAAGGCCACCATTTTCAAAATGGTTGCTCACTAGCCAAGTTGTCATCAGAAGAAATAATATGCTTTTAAGAAGCCACCGCTAAAATTTTTGAAAAATCACACACATACTTGTAAAATAACACACATAAAAATGGTGGCCATTTTTCAAAATGGCCGACTACTCCCCAAAGTTTTATTAGACAATGTGCCATGCTTAAAGTATTCACATATCAAATATGAACAAAATCGCTCCACTACTTTTCGAGTTATAGTAAAATACGTTAAAATCGCGGCCATTTTTCAAAATGGCCACCTTCTACCAAAAGCGACATTAGAAATAGACAGTGTGCCATGCTTATAGTATTCACATACCAAATATGAACAAAATTGCTCCACTACTTTTCGAGTTATAGTAAAATACATTAAAATGGCGGCCATTTTTCAAATTTTTTTTCAAAATGACCGCCTTCTACCAAAAGTGTCATAGGACAATGTGCCATGCTTGTAGTATTCACATACCAAATATGAACAAAATCGCTCCACTACTTTTCGAGTTATAGTAAAATGCGTTAAAATGGCGGCCATTTTTCAAAATGGCCGCCTTCTACCATAAGTGTCTTTAGACAGTGTGCAATGCTTATAGTATTCACATACCAAATATGAACAAAATCGCTCCACTATTTTTTGAGTTACAGCCAAAATCGTAAAATGACGAGTAAAGGCCGCCATTTTTCAAAATGGCTGCCATGTGCTACTTTAATATATATATTTGTAGCATTATTAATGTCCTTTATAATTTTTTTACATTTAAAACATATTGCTATTACAGTTTTACATATTGCACCTAAATTACTGTAAAATCGTCACTAAAATGGCCGCCATTTTGAAATGAGCGGCCATTTTGAAAATCAGCTTTCGAGCAGAACTTCTGCCCCCATAGGGTATATGTGTACAAAATATGAACAAAATCGGACCAACGGTATTCGAGTTATTGCCCGGACTGACGGACGTACGTACGTACGGACGGACGGACGGACGGACGGAGGCGTTCCCTATATCCCTCCGAACTTTGTTCGATGGGATAAATAAACAAAGTCGAAAAATTCGAGAGAATCATGATTATTTAGAGGTTATGTCACTATCGTGGCATATATGCCCGAGGTCTCAGTGATATATGGCCCGACCTTGGGAGGGACATTGATCTCTGAGAACCGAGGGCATATGTGCAACGATAGTGACATAAACGATTTATAACATACCTATAATGACGTAGACTGGTCAGAGAGTACCATTTTCTTAAAGAATTGACAAACAAATGGTTTGAAAATGATTGAAATGAGTTTAGAAAAATTGCTCGCGCAGTTTTATCTTCGATTGATTGGTTATGACGTCAGCGCCTTGACCAATCAGAAAGTTAGCGGGCGCGGGCTTTTCAAAACTTATATTGGCCCGCCGTCTTGTGTACACTTTGCACTGTACATCATCATAGGTATGTTATAATTGTAAATATTCAACATGTTGAGCCTTATTTACGTTTCAAATAAAGGTGAGAGATCATAATTATTTGTTTTTGTTAGGTATCGTTGTAAACACATTGTAGTATTGACCTAAAAAAAATTTGAGTCCAAAAAACGGAAATATTTTCAATTTTTGCGTCCTCCAAATTATTTTTGAGTCCTTAACATGTACGGGACGCCGTTAATGCAAGCCCTGGGTCTCTTATTAAACTTTATATATCAGATATTTTTATCATTGTATTGGTTCGTTATAAAAACAATGTGTGAAATGAGGGAATATATTCCAGTAGAGAAGGTCACGTGATCAGTTTACTAGTCACCATATTGGAAAAAAATAATTTAATTTGACTTTCCACCCTTTCATTCCATCCTTACCGCACTACAAACTGCAACGCTGATGCAACAACTGAATAAAAGTACTCATCTTCAAACATTATAGAGTTATACTTTGAAAACCCAAAAATTACTCAGCAGTTGACATGTCGCTATTATCTAGGTCAATTGGTTCAGAGTCCGAAAGCAAATCTATAGTACTCATAGTATAGTACAATATTTCTGATGGTGTATTGTTTTATTTAGCGTTCGGGTATAAAAAAAAATTGTGTAACTAGTTTGATTTAGTACTTTAATGTCACGCAAATAGCCACACGAAATGCATCATGGGAAAATATTGACCAATCAAATTTTGTCCTTTTTGGGGGCTTTTTAAGTACATAATTTCGTACTTTCTCGGTTAAAGAGCGAACTGCGAAAGGGAGAATTACAATTTGTTCTTACCTGCAATGTGACCCTGTGAGGATTGTGTATATATATAAGCTGGGCAAATGTTTGGTTTATAGGGAGTCGCACTCCCAAATATGGTTTTACACGATATGGATTTGCTATTCCAACACCAAACACCTGAAAGCAAAAAGATAACAATCATAAATTTCCTTAGATACTGCCTGCAATATTGAACATGTTGAAAAGTAAACCTCTGCTAAAATTAATTCCACATGTTCATTAGGTACAATCAAGAATTCACGGAAGAAGAATGTTTAAACCTCATTAAAAAGGTAAGTAGATTACTATATAAGCCATCTTTTTAAGTTCACTTCTAAACATGTTAATGTGGTGAAATCATCTGTGAAATCACCATGTATAGCTTCATCAGTGATACTTTAATATCATGTTAATGTGGTGAAATCATATGTGAAATCACCATGTATAGCTTCATCAGTGATACTATAATATCATGTTAATGTGGTGAAATCATATGTGAAATCACCATGTATAGCTTCATTGGTGATACTATAATATCATGTTAATGTGGTGAAATCATCTGTGAAATCACCATGTATAGCTTCATTAGTGATACTATAATATCATGTTAATGTAGTGAAATCATCTGTGAAATCACCATGTATAGCTTCATCAGTGATACTATAATATCTGATTGAAAATGTGCCTCATATTGCTCAAAATTGGTCCGAGCATGATCCAAAACCAATCAAAACTTCTAATGGCTTGCTTCAATAGTTAACTTTATACAAAACACTCAAGCATGGTATTTAAATATTTGTAAAAGAATCATGTAAAAATTATGAGCCCCTTACTCAAAAGCAGAACAGTGAATTCTTCAATACTCCATCTTTAATCCACCCAGATAACAGATCACACATTCAAAAGATCAAGCAAGAAAGTCACGTTTCTGTATTAAAGATGTCCACTGAGTTTTCTATTGTCATGTATTGCATGTGGGGTACTATCGAAATTTCAATGTTTTTATGATCAGATTAAGCAACAGGATGTGGCACATTGATAATAATGGGTTTTAGGATGCATCTTATGATAACTTCATTACCAAAAGACCACGTGCAGTATGGCAAGTGATTTTAGATGGTCATATCTTTCACCATGAGTACTTTCTGGACATAAATACAGTGGTTTTTATTAAACAATATGTTTTCTTTCAAGTGAAGTACCCATGATGATAAAAATATCAATCGAACAATTCGAAAAATTATGAATAGGGACCCCATGTCAACATTTTTTTAAAAATATTGAACCTATTTACTCAAAAGAGGATCTCCTTTTTCTGATTTTTATTGCATGAAAAGATTATTCAACGAGGGGTTTAAATCATCTTCAAAAATATAATGGTATTGAAAGTCTAGTTTTGAAGATATCAATTTTCGATGAGCAAAATGATGCTGAAAACAATGGATAGCACGAGTTTTCCCTATGGGAAAATAACATGGGATATGTGGTTTTAACTTTAACGCATTTCAATACGCATTCCCTTTTCAGAAATTGTTCATATAGTGTAGAAGAAACTTTCGATATGTTTAATTTGAGAACAGCAAGATCCCCTTATTAGAAAATAAGACTCACATCTTTTAAAAAGTGCCAGGGTAGGGCCCCAGTCGATAAATTTGGCTCAAATTTTATATGGTTGCTATTATCAAAACATGTTTTGTTCGGTGGGATTTGCTACTCCATGAAGTTGCTGTTTTTCTAGTTGGAGAGAATTTGGTAAAAATCGCTGAAATAAAATGTAACTAGACAGTGTTGACAGGGATTGAAGAGTTCCCTAGCAGAGCATCTCGAAGTGAAGGAATTGTTTTCCGCAATTATCTTCAATATTTCCACAAGAGACTGTAAGATATCGATCTAAAGTTATACCTTTTTTTAATGCTTTGACATAACATCATTTTTCATGTAAAAAGTAACATGTAAAAGTAGAAAAATCTTAAAAGAAACGAGAAAATACACAACCTTGATATGACCTTGACGGTCGCTACTTCGTAAAATGTCTTTAAACTCTTAAACCTGAGCATTTCCTTCATTCATTATGGACTATTTTGAGATAATTTTTTTAGTTTAGTCTGATGTGGGAAGCACCAAATAATAGATATTTATCAGGAGGATGCATTGAATTACAAAATGCATCATGTTTTCTGCAGGATAGTGTAAGTACTCTATTATTGCCCTTTGAAATTTAATTTTTTTTCCTGATATATTCATTAATACCTGGCCATTGCTAGATATTTGTTGAACTCTGTGAAGCAGGGTAGAGGCATCTTAATACAGCGATTACAGTAACATGTACTGATTTAAGTTATCTGGTAAAATTGATTACAGGGCCTGTAAAGTTCCATAGACATCCTGTATACAGGGTGATCATAAAGATAATAAAAAGTGCTATAACAGAATGTTGATCTTATAATTATTAGAGGTGTAACTCCCGAGTTTGTAACTCGAGTACAGCTCGTCAGAGCTGCCTATACATTGCCTCTAGTTGTCCTCTTGAAACTCGCAATCTGTTTCAACTCGCGAGCTAGCTATAACTCGAGTCAACTCTAGAGTTTTGCCTATCTTGTAAGCATGTAAAATGAATTTGGGTCCCAGAGATCGTGCAACATTACTTCATTACGGGAATAAATATCCCAATGATCGCCATATTTAGCGCCCGTCACCTAAAAAACACTCTCAAGGACTCTCAAAGACTCTCAAAGCTTTACAAAGTTCAACAAATATCGTGGAATGACGAATTAGTCCCAAAAAAATCAGAAAAAGATCGACTATCAAAGGAACTCAAGCGGGCGATAATAGAGTAGACACTAAAATTGAATAAAAATGGTCCCCTTATTCTCATGTCGTTTACACAACTTGTACACATAAAAAAGATGATCTATCATGAAATTAAGATCATAAGTCTTAACTTTAGATCGATAACCAGCAGTCTTAGTATAAATAATGAAGATAATCCGGGAAAACCATTCATTAATTTGAGGGGCCCTTCTGGGTTTTCTAAAATATTGTTTGGTTAGATTGTAGCGATCTCTAGTCCTTACCGTATGCCGCGACGTCTATACCAGATCGTTTTTGATTGAAATATGAGTGAATACCACACTTTCTTATTATGGCCCCAACGTGTTAAACAGCTTTTAGATGTGACAAAACCAGAGAATCTTGCCGCTAGAAGTTACAGTAATTTTGTATACCCGGGTTTACAATATGTACTTGACAAAGTGAATCAAAAAGTATAGGCTGAAATGTTAAGTCGGGGTCAGGAGGTAAGTAAACAAATTGGAATAGCCAATAGCTCAACCGGAAGTAGGAAATGAGGAGAGGAAATGAACCTGAAAATTGATTTTGCAATATTTTGGGAAGTTTTCATGTTTGAATCGAATACACCCTTTAGGGCTAGGCACAGAAGCTTTCGAACCCCTCACTCCCTTAGGTCATTGGGAAACTCTTAAATTTAGATGCTGAGGGCACACAATCACATACAACTGAAGGGACAGCATGCAATTATACAGAATGTCCAAAACTTACTTGGTATTTATAAACACCCTGTGAGGTATGTATATACAGAGTGTTCTCTACACTGCCAACTTCACGAGCAAGAAACACGACATCAAATGTTGTATTGCCCCCAGGTGGCACCACCTAACAAAAACATCAATTTTAGGAGTTAAGAATTTAGTTGTTGTTGTTGGTTACGAATGAGTCAGAAGTATGTATTTATTACAGACTATAGGCTTTCATTTCATGTTATTTATGTCTTTTTACCTTTTCTTTGAAGAATGCGCAGTGGAAATGTACAGTACTCCCAGATATGGAGAGAAGATCAAGGTCTCTGCCAGGATCTGGGTTACGAAGGGTGACCGTCTGCATGTTAGGTATTCCCACAGACCTAGAATAGAAACAACACTAGATATCAAGATTGCAAGCAATCTCTTACACAGGCCCTGATGTTTAATTATACACAAATGTTTTAAAATAATGTATCATAGATCACCACATAGATGTTTTGTTATTTTACTCATAAAATATGATGGTAAGTAGTTTTGCAGTTTGAAGTTGGATCCCGGAGATTATAACAATATGTCACCACTTGTAGTTATGACATAAAAATCATAAAACTAGATCAAATTTTGAATTAAATACAGTTGATTTTGTCTTCATGGTGTCAAGTTGTTAACTATAAAATATATAACTACAACTATCTAAAAGATTGATCACATGATTTCAAAATGGTACAACAAACCCGTGTCAAGGGTACTTGGAGCATTCAAAAAAGAAAGAAAACATTGTGATGTTTTCTTTATGTTTTCTTTTCTCAATGGTTTTATACTTTGGGAATGCAAACATATTTTGTTTATATTCAATGCATTCTTGGAGATTATCATTTTCTCAGATTTGCTGACCGACAGCATCGCACATGTACAATGTCAATATCAAATTCTGTAATATTCGCTTTGCTTGGCAGTCATGCTGGCCGACAGCGTTAAACTCTAAATCTGTAAATCATAATATTTTGCTCTGAGCAATAAGTAAAGGCATAGTAACCAAGCTGACCGACAGCGTTATACTAAGCTGACCGACAGCGTTAGTGTACTTTTTCAAATCAGTTCTAACATAATATCTAAATGTTTTTTACTGTGTAAATACCCTTAGTAACAGGTGAGGCAGCCTTACATTTACTCTAAAAAGATTGGTAAGCTATTATCATTCCTGAACTTCCGGTAAGCTCGTAACAATTAATATTAATATAAAAACAAATGTTATTCTTACATGAAATAAACGAGGTGAAATCGAAAATTTCTCAACTTCCGGTGACCCAACCTTAACCCCCTTTTTAAGGAGGGAGGAGGTACTCAACTTAAAGTCGGCCCCATGATCCGAAATGAAGCAGAGTTACAGACGAGGACTTCGATAAACGATTCACCTGTTCTAACAATGCAATATTTGATATTTTGAAAAGTTTTTACAAATATGAATTATCTTAAAAAACATTTGCCTGTGTAACTTTGTCATACCTCGCTTGCGTGTAAACCGAGAATGACCTTACATAACATACATAATTCATGTGTCCAAATGAAATACTCCAAGCATGAATACCCTACTCACCACCTACGATCACCCTAATAAAAATGCAACGCAATAAACATTTCGCCTTCCGTAATACTTAAGTAATTTTCAAACTGATTCGTTACACTCAAACGTTAGAAAATCTATTGGTCAGTATCACAGTTCAACGATATTTTCAACTCCTTAAGGGAAGGTTACAGGGATTTCAATTTCATGACTGTTCCCATATTCACGCCGTTGAACGCATGGAAACTAACTAAAAACAAGGCATTAACATGACAAAATGTCACCACCTTGTTGCTTACAATATTATGAGTTCAATCTTAGTCAGATCTGAATTTCTTAGAACTTGTAGATGATTTTGAAAAATTAATTCGTCAATTTGAAGCAAGTTATAAAAATACCCTTTTTGACCCTGAGATGGTCATTGAAGGTGGAATCTCAAATCAAAAGTCAGATTTGAACTTCTGAGAACTTGTAGATGATTTTGAAGAAAAATTGGTCAATTTGAAATATGATTAAAAAATACCTTTTTGACCTTGACAATGTCATTGCAGGTCAAATCTGTTTTAACCCTGACAAGGTCATTGAAGGTCAAATCTATAGTCAGATTTGAACTGTTGAGAACTTGTAGATGATTTTGAAAAAAAGATTGGTCAATTTGAAGCAAGTAAAAATACCTTTTTGACCTTTTTTGACCTTGAGAAGGTCAAATCTCAAATCTAAAGTCAGATTTGAACTTCTGATAACTTGTAGATGATTTTGATAAAAGGAATTGGTCAATTTGAAGCAAGTTGAAAAAATATCTTTTTGACCTTGAGAAGGTCATTGAAGGTCAAATCTCAAACCTAGTCAGATTTGAACTTCTGATAACTTGTAGATGATTTTGAAAAAAATTGGTCAATTTGAAACAATTTGAAAAATACCTTTTTGACCTTTTTTGACCTTAAGAAGGTCAAATCTCAAATCTAAAGTCAGAAGCAAGTTGAAAAAATATCTTTTTGACCTTGAGAAGGTCATTGAAGGTCAAATCTCAAACCTAGTCAGATTTGAACTTCTGATAACTTGTAGATGATTTTGGTCAATTGGTCAATTTGAAGCAAGTTGAAAAAATACCTTTTTGAACTTTTTTGACCTTGAGAAGGTCACTGAAGGTCAAACCTCAAATCAGAACTTCTGGAAACATGTAGATAGATGAGTTTGAAATTGAAGTCAGTCTAAACAGTATTTCTTAAGTTATCTGAAGTTGTAAGAATTTAAACCGCGATCTCATATCTTAAAAGCGTATAGGTTGAAAAAAATACTAGAAGACCCTAACATATTTTACATGTACTGCTCCTATTCATTTAGCAATTCAGTGGTAAATCTTCCAGATTTTTTTAATATTCTTGCAGAAATGGCCTACTCCCCTCCTTTACATGATTGTATAAAATGCCAGAAGGCGATTTGCCGCATGATTGTGTATTATGCCATGAAAAATATATCAATGAAATAAACCTATTATTTAAAAAAAAAATTAAGTGATGTCAACTGTAAAGTAGTTTAATACGATGAAAACTAAAAATACCGAAATCGACAGTTCCCGTCTACCATCTTGCGAAGGTAACATAACCTTAGCATGATACTGACCAGTGAAAAACGAAAATATATCTAGTTAGTGACAAAATATATATGCGTGATATAATATGTAGCAATGAAGCTTTCTATCGAAAGTGACTAAGTGATCAAAATGTTAAAACGTTTTCCAGTTTTATCATTAAATTGATCTGCTCTGGTATAAAAGCCAATAATTTGTAATTTATTAAGTTTGGAAATACATGACATTTTTCTGTTCATTGTTAAAAAGATACCATTGAGACCTTTTGAGCATACAACTGAAGTTCACATTGTAGAAGTATTGAAATTCAGTGGCCGATACATATTCCAGTATAAGTCTAGATTATTGATAGATTATTCTAGTTTTAAACCACACTTAGGTAGCAACACAACATAAAACAAACTGTGTTTTATCTTTTAGAATATCCAGCTATAACAAAGAGGAGTGCATTATTTTTTAAGAATGTACACTCGGCATTAGCTATCCAAAACCAGCGTTGCACAAAAGATGATTGACTGTCACATGCAGTGCACTGAAGCTGAAGTAATTATAACCTATTCACTCTTTCAATAGTTGAATAGTAAACATAAAAGAAATCCAACTTTAATCTGTAATGCCCCGTTACATGCAGTTCACTGAAACTGAACTAATTACACAGACTCACTTCTCAATACGCTTACCTCATAGTCAATACAAAAGAAATAGATTTTTCCTAAAAGTGGATCATGGACCATTTTCACCTTTCATAAGAGTCAGTGCCCAATGTGTGTTTCAAGTTAGATAAACAATTAGTCTTGGGTCTTAGGAGAAAATAATTGTTTTTCCTTATACCAAGACTCATTGTTTATCCTATCATAGTTTTGGGGGACGTATTAGTTTTGATACGTCACAAGTAGTTGGACCCCTATGACATTAATAGCCCAAAAACAGACTTATTAGGGCTGTTTGGAGTCTCATATGCCTGGGAGTGGGAGATATGGAGGTTCCGGATATGGAAACCTCAAAATCAGGATATATTCTTACCAACTAAACTCCACTGGGCATATGATATAATTTCAAAATACTTACTGTTCACCAAAGTCTAGCATATAAGGATCAAACTGTACAGGTATGTAGCCATCATCCCCAACACTGAAAAGTAATACATAATATGGATTAATATAATACATCTTATGATTGTTTGCAAATACAATTCAGGAAAACTGTTTTTATTTGTAGATCAAAGAAATAATATAGGAATATCCTATGGATTTGAAAAAATATCATTTGTATCCATGAGTGGATATATTTTTGAAAAACCATAGGATTGTCCGTTTATCCCATGGGAAAAAAGTTGAAAAATATAATTTGAGATAGAATTTGAAAAAATTATTGAAAAAAATTGTGAAAAAAAGTTGAAAAAATTTTGAAAATTTTGAAATTTTTAAAAATATTTTTGAAAATAATTAAAAAGTGTAAAAAGATTTTTTTTGAAAAAATTTGAAATCATCGAATATCACTTTTCAAACCATCGAATATCACTTTTCAAACCATTGAATATCACTTTTTAAGACGTGATATTTGATAGTTTAAAAGTGATATTCGATGGTTTGTGAATTTTTTGCTAAAATATGATATCTTGATCCACATATCAAATATATCTTCATGTGATATTCGATCTATATCCTTGCAACCATGGGATAAATCTCTATATCTTGTTGTATCTTTGAACTGGAAAGAATTGAGGCTTAATGCCAACCACATGTAGGTTACTTTGAGTCAATGACCATAGACAAGTGGTATACAAAAACAAAACAGAAAAACAACAACAAGCCAGTGTCATGAGAGTGTACCATCCATACAAAATCCCTACTTTTTCCAGTTACAACTCGAAATCGGCAACTCCACAGAGTAGCAAATCCCAACGATATAACGATATAAATCATGAATCTGTAGTCACAATGAAATATTTACCATCTACTCTTCCCTTTAATAAACACTTGATATCATTGTAGTATCATGTAACCATCTTAAAGATATCTCAAGTAATGGCGAATTCTTGCTCAAGGCAGCCATTTTAAATTTTCTGAGGCACAAATCTGAAAAACGATACCATATTTGTGATCTAAAATTGACCCACTGAGGAACAAAATGAAAAAGATTTAAAGATGTATTCATCAGGAGTGCGAAAACCCATGAAGAACGCTTTATGGAACTGAACTGTCAGGAAATATTGAAGAATAAACCAAATAGTGCCGACTATCAATTCACTGGAAGTGGACGCTTGAAGGATTTAATGCAACATATCACCAGAATGGGAATGTGATGACTGATTCCAACAAATACAGTGACCAAGATGGTAGGGAATATGCCAATTCTAGCCGTAGTAAGAGCAACTGGTATAATGATGTGAGACCAACCAAAGGAAGAGGCAAAAACTATGGAGATATGAGAGGAAGAGAAAGGGGAAATTGGGACTCTTGGGCCTGACATTTCCCAGTCTCAATTAAGATTGAGTCAAATCAAATTATGTGGACTGTCCTTGAAACTAGACAATCCTGATTTCACAGAGGAGCTTCTAAAACATGACATTATCTGTGTAACTGAAACAAAACTAGATAAAATCAGTGAAATCAACCTAACCTACACCCTGGAAGAACTTGGATATATTGCGTTAATCAAGAACAGCAAAAAACTCAGTATGAAAAATTCTGGTGGCATTTTAATATGTGTTAAAAAGAAATTCATTCATAACCCTTATGACATATAATATGGTATTTAGTGAGGAGTTAATTATGGCATAGTGTTCAGGTGCATCCTAAGAGTTAATAAGGTCATAGTGACTTTGTAAAGGTCAAGTCAGTGTATATCTGAAAATAAAAGATTCCTGTTTACAAAATTTAAATTTGAAAATTTGACAAAGAATGTTGTAAAGGACAATTTTGACCTTAACCTTTGATTTTCAAAAGGAGGTCAGGCTTTCATATTTTTGTTTTTCTTATTTTATTTAGTTCAATTGACTTAGCATGTAGATATCATGTATCGACTCGATGATACCCTGATGTTAAGTCAATTATTCAAAATTTCAAAGGAGGTGGGTATAATGCTCTTAATCCACTTTGCACATTTGCAGCACTAGTATAGTCAATATCCAAAATGGCTGCCCTTATCTTTTGTTCAACTACATTTTTACAGTGCTTCCGCAAGGCTAAGCCATACTAACTTCATATTTGATTGCATCCAATCAATATAAGATTAGAGTGCCTCCAAACTTTAAGTTGTGCATAAATCTTGATATTGTTAAAATATTGAATGTGAATATATTCTTAAACCTCAGAAATATGATAATTAAGAGGGAAGTTCACAATTTTGGCAAAGAAATGGTACACTCTTGGAATTGTCTGAAAACACATTGTTGGGTTGACTTTATTTCAAAATAAGAAGGAAATCAGTGAGTTGACACTATTACCTTTAATATTTCATAAGAATATAACACATTTTCGTATATTGGAATCATATCTTATATATAGTGACACTTATAGTGACAGATTCTTTATCTGGAAGCAACAAGAAGCACAGACTTTTAGCCAAAATGCTGACTCTAGAAAAACTAGACATGTAAATTGAACAAGTTCAATTTAAGACTCCAGATTTCAAACTTTTTTTAAGCTGAGTCATCCAGAATACTTATAAGCTGAGTCATTCAGAATAAGCTGAGTCAGCTAGAATATAGACATTTAGACAACTCTTAAGAATGTTATCTTCGACTCCATTGGCTTAACATGGGGCTATCATCATATCGACTTTTCGAGACTTCAAACCATTTTAACTATCTAACCAGAAGTTGGATTGAAATTTGGTGTAAAGATTCGGATTCCTGAATTCTACCCTTAATTCATAACTCATACGTAAAATTTGGAGAATTTTTTATTTTGACCTACTTTTCGGACACCATGTCTCAAAAGTGGGTCAAAATACTTTCTGACGGCAAAAGGCTAACACTATAAGCACACTCTTCGCTACCTGTATACAAAATTTCGAAGCAAAGCATTAAAGTGTAATGTCAGAATCGCAAAAATAAGGAAAAACTATGAATTTGACCTAAGCATTTTGGTGTCCAAGCTAGATAGCCTTCGAGGTCCCCTTCTTCTATAGGCTTTCAGAATATTGAGCTGTACTCTGAGTCTATATCTGGTATTTTACACTTGGAAAGATTATGCAATACCTGTAAACAAATAGAGGATGAATGTCATTTCCTTTTAACTTGTACAAAGAATGATGAGCATAGACAATTATTGTACACTAAGGCTCGTGAAATTCTAAGTAACTTTGACCTCAATAGTGAAAATTTATTTGTCAATCTCATTTCAAGTAAAAACTTAACATTACAAAGACACATTGGAAAATTCATTTAAATCATTCATTTAAGAATTTGTAGTCAGAATGCAGGGTATGTGCACCACACTTTAAATGTAACCTTGTCCTTTCATCATGATGTATACTACCTTTATTTTGGTTTTTTTTTGTATATCTCGTATATATTTTTGTACTTTTGCCTTAGTTAGTATTTGTAGTTTAGATATTTAGTTTTTTCATAGTTATGACTAATGTAATCATGTTATGATACAAGATGTCAATAAAAGTTATATATACACTTCAAAAAAAAAATCTTTTTTCTCATTGACATAACATGGGGCACCAAATTTAGCAATTTTTGAGCTATCAAAACGCCATAACTTCCAAACCGGTTTGCAGATTCGGATTCCTGAGAAAATTCTATTCTTAATTCATAACTCACACCATAAATTTGGAGAACTTGTTATTTTGACCTACTTTCGGGACACCATATCTCAAAAGTGGGTAGAAATACTTTCTGACGGCAAAGGGTTAACACTATTAGCACACTCTTTACCACCTGTTTACAAAATTTTGGAGCAAATCATTTAAATGTAGTGTCCGAACCACAAAAATAAGGAAAAACCATGAATTTGACCTAGATTTTGACCTAGGCATTTTGCTGTCCAGATTTTGAAGCTAGTTGGCTTTTGAGGTCCCCTTCTTTTAAAGGCTATCATTATATTAAGCTGTACTCAGCCTATATCTCGTAAATTACACTTCAAATAAATCTTTTTTCCCTTTGACTCAACACTGGACACAAATTTAGCCATTTTTGAGCTTTCAAAACGCCATAACTTTCGAACTGGAAGTCAGATAGAAATTTGGTTTGCAGATTCAGATTCCTGAGAAAATTCTTCACTTATTTTTTAACTCACATGTTGAATTTGGACAACTTGCTGTTCTGACCTACTTTTCGGATGCCATATCTCAAAATCGGTAAGAGTAGTCAAAAAAAAGATTTGCCTTTCAGAATAAGCGTTTTTTCCAAGGAACATGATGAAAAAATCCTGAGCGAAAATACTGAAGGAAAACTCAGAAAAGTGGCAAAATAATGAAAACACAAGATTTGACCTAGTTCTTGACCTTTGACCTTGATAAAAATTTGACCCAATTTCCGGGCAGCCAAGACACATTACCTATTTAACCATGTAGGCTGTTTAAAATAAGCTCTTCTAGTTGATGAGAAAATGTGGGGGCAAGAATAATAGGCGATCAGCCTGGGGGGTTGGTCGGTACCAAATCAAGGGAATAATGGCCATGGTGACTTTTGGGAAGGTGTACACCCCTACAGTAAGAAAATATGTGATAGCATTGCAGAAGTGGCAGCTAAATGGGTGTTATCACCCATTTTTCAAAATGGCCACCAGTGCGCTTGCTACCAAATGAAAGAAGTTATATCTAAGCATACTGAGAGGCAAAATCAGTAATTTTAGGGTCTAATTCTGGGTTTTAGGGGTCACTGATTTGATTTATGCCTAAATCCAAGTCATCAAAACATAAATTCATATGAAAATCCAAGATGGCCCCCAAAATATGTAACTAATGATACAAGCTAAAGCGTTTCAAAATGATTTTGAAGAGTTTTAGAAGAAGTTTTCAAGTCTACGGATTTTATTCATGTCTAAATCTATGTCATCAAAGGATTGACTTATATGAAAATCTAAGATGGCCACCAAAATAGGTGCCAAAAGGAATATGTAACTACTTTGTATTGATACACGCTCAAAGAACAGATAAAAAGCAATTTTATAGATCATGAAAGGGTTTAGAGGTTAATGATTTCACGTATGCTTCATTTTAGTCTAAGTAATCAAATAATTACTTTTCATAGAAAACCAAAATGGCCGCAAATATGGGTGCCGAAATGAACATGTAACTATTAATGTAAGCTCAAAGAATAGCTAAAATGTAGTTTTGTAGATCATGAAAGGGTTTGGGGATAGGATCAATGATTTTATTGTCTTCGTTTTCAAAGAATAACTTGATGTGGAAATCCAAGATGGCTGCCAAAATGAATAAGTTACCATTAACATAAGCTCAATGAACAATTACAAAGTGATTTTGGAGACCATGTCTAGGTTTCAATGGTCGAGAATTTTAAGTCAATGGCTAGGTTTCAATGGTTGAGAACTTTAAGTCATCAAATAATTCTTTTATTTAGATATTCAGGATGGCATATCTCAAAATCGGTAAGAGTCACAAACGAAACAGCCACTATATTAGCTTTATTAAGGAATGTGTTTAGTGGGAAATTTAAATTTGAATGTTTATGACAACATGATTGGTCAATTTATAACTTGATCTCATCACATGACTCATCACATGATCAGAAGTTAGGATGTAAATATTGAACCACATGGTCTGGTACAGAAATGATAATGTTTATACTCTCATAAAAACAGCAATTTTTCTCTGAAATGTTTGATTAGAAAACATATTTTAAGATCTTCTAAAGCTGATTCTGTTTACTTTTGAGTAATAAACATACTATTTTTGGAGGCGCGAACGTTGAATTTTTTTCCGGGTTCTAAAAATTTCCTGGTGAGAACCCTGTACCCTAAAATGACAACCAGAATGAAGTAAAGTGTATAAAGACAAAAGTTATGATGGGACACAGTAAAATAGATATGATCTATCAAATGGATAATTGTACCCATGAAGTTTGTGAAACAAGACCAAAATCATTCCATATTGATAATTAGATATACTGTATTATATTACATGACATGTTAATATTTAGTGTTAATCTTGTGGCATTGCATGGTAATGTCCCTGTTTTCTTGACGTAAATTGCATTATAGATTTCTTCTACAATTCATTTAGTACCAGCAGCAGAATGCTCAGAATGCCTCATTTGCAACATAACTCTATGTATGCTTATTTTGCCCAGACAATCACTCATTTCTCTCAATCAAACATTCCAATAATATCCACTTATTCCATTCCTTGCTAATATCTCTCTCCTCATTTCTCAAGTAAAAAGTGACAAGAGTCCAACCATCAACAATATGTGGAGTCTAAACAATAATACTGCTTACTATTACTTGGGCCATAAATAATTTAATGATAATCAATATATTCACATCACAAACCATATCATGAATGGATCATTAAACCTTGCAGGAGTCTGATCTACCAATTTACAAAAGTGTAGTTACATATTCAGGTGAAGAGTATTCAATATGAAGTTCATAAGATCAAATTGTTTGATCACTAGCAATCATAAGAATCCTAGTTAGTTTATTACCAGTGGTTGATGTGGCAATTATAATATTACCTACTGAATGGCATGTATCATTTAATGCACAAGGCACAGTTTAATTCTTTCCACTATGCTGTAAGGTTAATGGCATTGAGAATGAAGCTGAAAAAGATGCTACATTTAAAATGGCAATGAAAATAGGATTTCCTCATACATATGCCCACCCTAGCACCTATCCAACCAGCAGCAAAATATACTTATTGCAGGAGACAAAGATGGCATTAAAGTGTGTACGAAACTATATAAAGTGTGCGGTGCAAGTGTCCGTACTCGGGGACTATAAATAGGCTCAACCAAAGTTTAGCTCAGATAGGATTGAGAGGACGGCCGAAACACATGCTAAACAATATTTAATAATCCATATGTTTGCAAGTCTAGCTAATTTGTAACATATTGTGTATTGCAAATACATATTCAAGATGATACTCGTAAGGCCAACCGTATTTAGGTTATCACCTGGAATAGAACCTAGAAGGGCAGACAGACGTATGGAATTGAGATAGAGCCCAAAATATGCCCAAGAATCAGAGGAAAATGTGCTAAATTCAAATCTGTCTTTTTGGTCTTTATCTGCAAGGAAATAGTTTTAAGACACTAGGCAATGGCTAATTTGAAAGGTCTCTTTGTGCTTTTTAAGTTTCAGTCCAAAATGACTGGTGTCTAATAATAGGTGTGATAAGAACCAAACAATCAAATCAAGAACAGAACCAAAGGATTCAAAAACTGAAATGTACTGAACTGAAAATTTTGAAACCATCTGACCCCTAGTGACAATGCTCTCCATATATAAACATACATGTTATTATTATTTAATATTATTACCACCTTGCTGGGCCAGTTCTAGGGGCTTGTAACATCGGCCCTCGGTCCAATATTTCATTTTATTATGCACCTCATTAAAATACTCAAATCTGATTGGTTCTTAGTTGCTTGTAATTTGGCAATACTCTGCTCTTTTCTGAAAACTGACGGATATTTTTTTAATATCTGACCCTTTCAAGAAAAAGGGTCGGATATTTTTTGCAATGTTTTTGCAACATTCACACTTCAAAGTTTTATTTCTTAATAACTGGAGTACTACTTAAAGCTTACATCTGAAACTGGCGGAAAATAGAAGAAAAAAATGTACTTAATCAATCACAATTACCCTTATCATTCAAAAGTTACAAATAATTCTGCAAGAACAAAAATAAATTCCCGTGGCAAATATTTTCGTCCAGTGTAGCGAATAAACTGGCCGGAAGTCGTCTGAGTTTTGAAAGAAAAAATAAATAAATGTCAAAATAATGTCAACTAAACGACAGTTAAAGCCTGTACTCCAGTAAGTAGTCCACTTAACTTTGATTGGGAGGTGCATAATAAAACAAATACTGGATGATCAGGAGCTGGATATGGCCAGAATACCTATCCTCGAAAAAATATTGGTCTCGGCTACCGCCTCGCCCAATATTTTTTCTCGAATAGGTATTCTGCCATATCCAGCTCCTGATCATCCAGTATTTGTTTAATATTGCCCTTAGAAATGACGTTATTGTACTAGTGAAGCCACTACCCATGACAATTTCCAGTACAATATATCTTATGATCAATATTTTTAAAAGTATGAACATCCAATATTCTCTCAATTATGGGTCACAACAAAACAAACTCTCTTAATTAAACAGAACTGTAAATATGTTTATTCTAAAAAAAGTCTCTTATTTTTGAAAACAACAGTATCCCCAAAACTAAACTTCTGTGTCGTTGATCTCACTGATTGCAGAATACCACAATATATTATTGAAAATATGACTGATAATGCTTTTGCCAAGGGAATTTTTATCACCTAAAAGCTGGAAGGGCATTTCCAAAACGTATACAACAATGAAGTCTTAAGAGAGAATCAGATATAGCGAGCAGCTAAACAAAAATTGTTTCAATTTTAGAATATTTCTGGCTTATGTCATTCCTTCTCATGTCTTTTTTTCTAAAAATCCCCTTAATGCGCACTTTATTTCATGAAAACTAAAGATTTTTACAATGAATTTTTTCTATAGGAATGGTTACCATTCTTATTATTTGGGAGAATTAAAACATTTTCACCCATTTTTGCACTTTGAATCAATTATAACTTCACCAATTTATAATATTTCAAAGATCTTTTAGATTTTGTATTCAAAAGTGTGAAGAATAGATTGGTAGGTCAAATGTACTTTAGATCTGATTCTGCCTTTAAGAAGCCATGTTTTTTGTCTCATTCAATAACCATGCAGTTTAAATGTGAAAAATTTGTGTGAAGCAGTATAAGGAATAAATTATACATTTATGTATATATAATATATAGTTTACCTTAAATCAAGCGCATCAGATGATGGTAATCCAAACTGAAATAGAAAATGTATATAAATAAAAATAATTTAAAATTGGGAACAAAATTGAATGTTTGTCAGGTCTTCAAAATCTCATTTAACTTGGCAGAACCAGGGACTGGGAGTCTAAGGCAAAAGGAAATTCAATTTGCTCAGCAATGTCTGTGTTATAGATTTTTCTATTTCCTGAAATATGAGTCAAAACATTCAGGCTCTCTATGTAAAGTGTAATAAAAGGACAAAGTATTTCCCTAGACTAATCTCCAAAGAAATAATTTCAAACAAAGTAATTAAGAATTGGAATTGTACTTTCCCTGCCTCATTTAGATCAGAGCGTCTCCTCAGAAATTTGCATTTCAGGGGATAGAAATGTATCCAGTATTTTTGTGTGGTACAATCAGAAATACTTGAAGTTGACTCAGACCTCAATTTTTGATCCAGAGAAAGGTTTAATTTTACTCTGTAGTCTGTGATCATTTTACAGTATTTCCTTAGCTGGAAGGGGCTGCCTGCCCCTAGTGACTTTGACTTGGTTCAGCCATCTAAGATTAAGATCTTGCTCATTGGAGATTTCTATTAATTTCAAAACATGGCGAACAGCATAGATTGAAATTATAAGCAACTGTCAAAATAGCTCCATGGTTGAAATGGCTCCATGAAGAAGTATTACTAGTGGTGCAACTTGCCAGAAAAATGCCACGCGAATAGAAAGTGTAATAAAAATGCCACTGTGATCGTATGTCACTCGCAAAAAATGAGGGCAAATAGTAAAAATTAAAAAACGCAACCCGAAAACTGTTTGAAGATCACATAAATACTATTTCAACGACTATAGACTACTAATGTTCTATATAGTTTGTATCACCTAAATGACAAGAAATAGAATTATTTATGCCATAATTGTGTTTGTTTGTAAAGGTGTCATCGTCCAGTAAGATTTAAGAACAGGATGGTATGGGACGAGGGGTCTCAGGACATGGGACATTTGGTTCAGGATGGTACGAGAGTTATAAAGTCACGAAAGTAATAATTCTCAAATTTTTAGTGGGCGATAATGAATGATTTTCCTTCAAACGCTGTTTTTTCACATCCTTTTCATTACCATATATAGAGATAACTTCATTCTACCTATAATGCTTCGGTGCACTGGTTGAATCCCTATTTATTTCTATCTTAATATTGTTAATTTAGTGAATATCAATGCTTCATATTTATCGGGAATTTGAAAATCATGAAAGCAAGAGAATTGAGACTTCTATTGATCAATACTCCTATTCGCGATAAGAGTTCAGGTGGTAATTTACATAAATATCTCCCATGATGCATCGCTTTGGAAGGGACAAATTTTCATTGGCCCGCCGCTCGAGTCGATTACTCTGAACGTTTCTCAGCTTCTGATCTTCCACCAGCCCTCAAGCATAGTTATGTAATCCAATCTATTCAATAGTCAGAAAGATAATCGGAGATTCAAAGTAACATTATTTATATTTTTTCTATCTTCGATGGCGTCTGAGCAATTTCTGGGATATCAGTGACGTCACTGGAATTGGACGGCATTTTCAACTACAGATTTCTTCGGATTTGGGGATAATAGTTCAAAAAGCTTTGTCATATATCTTAATTGCATACATACTTATCGTTTTTGCAAATAAAACTCTACATAAATGTTTAATAGAGTCGCAGTGCGGCATTGAAAATAGCACCCCTGTGTAATCCAATGGGAAAGAACCCGGATGTAGACGAAGTTGTACCATACATGAGAGCTCTTCAAACGGGAAATAGCTAAACTGAACGAAATTAAACGTTATCGCGTATTGGTATATTGAGCGTGTGGTCACAGAGGACCAATATCCTAGATGCGAGTAGAAAATCATCTTGATTTACATCATAAAAATTCACAATTCAGTCAAACTGATGTCATATTTGGAATCTACATGTAAAATTACATTTAGAAATGTGGTTTTGAAAAGAGTTAATCAACTTTGAAAATTTAATTTTCTTTGAAAATGTGAATTCTAGGTCGGGGAGATTCCCCATAGAACCCATGTTGTAAAACCACAAAAGTGAAATATCTTTCCTTGTGTTGGGCAGATAATATTTTCTTTTACTGCTCATATTACAATTTGTATAACTCATATAATTAGATACGTATGGGATATCCTATAATTTTGAGAGATATCATTTTTATATCTGGACGAGTGGGCCCAAAGTTGACATCAAATCATCCCACAGTTCACCTTACAAAGCATTTCAACAACATTGAGTTTTATTTTGTCATTTGAACTATAGCAAAAACATTAATCATTTCCATATTTGTGATGCCGTGAAATCACCATGTAAGCATATAACGTGTAACCATGTAACAATGCATGTCACATTTGCGGGAGTTTTCAAATCTGTAGAAACAAGACACACAGTGATAAATATCGCACTTTGAAGAGCAAACTGGCCACCATGCAATTCACCCAGCATGGCCAAAACCTAATCAGACCTTGGCACTAGTCTGCTCTTGCATCTGTAAACATTTCAAGTTGATAAGGTTAGCGGTTTTCCTGCAATTTTGATGACAAGAATTTATTTGTAGTCTTGAACTTTGGGAAAATTTAGATAACATTGTTTGTGACCTAATTTGATGACCTTCGACCTTGAAAATATTACTTTCTCAGACCTCAGTAGGTGTTTTGTAATTAAGCTGACCTAAATTTAAATCCAAAATATCAATTTAGAAAATCAACTTTTTGACCTTTTCAAGGCCACTGAAGGTCAACGAAAGGTCAAATCAGAAATCTAAGGTCAGATTTGAACTTCCGAGAACTTGTAGATGTTTTTTAAAAAAAAAATTGGTCAATTTGGAGCAAGTTGAAAAATTCAAAATGGCCGCCAAATTGAAAAATTCAAAATGGCCACCATGTAATTCAGCCAGCATACCCAAAACCTAATCAGATCTTGGCAATAGTCTGCTCTTGCATCTGTAAAAATTTCAAGTTGAACGGATAAGTGGTTTTCCTGGAATTTTGATGATAAGATTTGTTGAAAAATTCAAGATGGCCGCCACGTAGTTTACCCAGCATGCCCTAAACCTAATCAGATCTTGGTACTAGTCTGCTATTGCATGTGTAAAAATTTCAAGTTGAACAGGTTAGCGGTTTTCTTGGAACTTTGATGACAAGAATTGATTTGTAGTCTTAAACTTTGAGAAACTTGGATTACATCATTTGTGACCTAGTTTAACCTTTACCATGCTGCCTTATTTCAGCAAATATATCCCACGCATCTGGCTTCTTTTTCAAAGAGTGCAAAAAATGATATGCCTGGACTAAATAATTAATATCTCAATAACTACTGAATGAATCTGGATAAAATTTTCACAAAGGGAAGATACAGTGGCCTGGCTCATGAAAAAATGTTCTTATGAATATTTTTCGTACAATAACATGACTGGGCATAAATATACCATGAATACTCCTCCGAAATCCGCCTCTCCGCCCCTTCGTCTGGTCAGAATTCAAATCTGAATTTGCAGCGATCGAATGTTCAATTTTTCAATTCAGAAAATATTCTAGTTTCTATTTTCGATGACCATTATCGGCTTCCAAGAGCCTAAAGAGCTCGAAATCGTAGTCCATTTCCTCCACATTTTCGTTGTGATCGTATTTGTCCGCCATTTTGTACAATTTGTTCACTTAAAACGACTAAAACACTGTTTAAATTGTTGAATTGAGAATTATTTTTCGAAATATCGCCATTTTTAGGTCAACAGGAAGTCATGTTAGGCACTGAATAAATCGGGCAATCTAATTGGACAATACGAATGGCGCGAAAAAGTAAAGTTTTTAAAAGTTTGAAATTGGGCGTACGGGTCCGCCGGCAGTTGTGAGAGACATTTTAGTCTCGGCGGACGAGTCCGCCGGCAGCACGCTAAAGGTTAATGACCTTGACCTTCGACCTTGAAAAATTCACTTTTTCAGACCTCAGTAGGTGTTTTGTAATTAAGCTGACCTAAATTTAAATCCAAAATATCAATTTAGAAAATCAACTTTTGACCTTTTCAAGGTCACTGAAGGTGAAAAAAAGGTCAAATCTGAAATCTAAGGTCAGATTTGAACTTCTGAGAACTTGTAGATGTTTTTTAAAAAAAAAGTTTGTCAATTTGGAGCAAGTTGAAAAATTCAAAATGGCCGCCAAATTGAAAAATTCAAAATGGCCACCATGTAATTCAGCCAGCATACCCAAAACCTAATCAGATCTTGGCAATAGTCTGCTCTTGCATCTGTAAAAATTTCAAGTTGAACGGATAAGTGGTTTTCCTGGAATTTTGATGACAAGATTTGTTGAAAAATTCAAGATGGCCACCACGTAGTTTACCCAGCATGCCCTAAACCTAATCAGATCTTGGCACTAGTCTGCTATTGCATGTGTAAAAATTTCAAGTTGAACAGGTTAGCGGTTTTCTTGGAATTTTGATGACAAGAATTGATTTGTAGTCTCAAACTTTGAGAAACTTGGATAACATCATTTGTGACCTAGTTTAATGACCTTGACCTTCGACCTTGAAAATTTCACTTTTTCAGACCTCAGTAGGTGTTTTGTAATTAAGCTGACCTAAATTTAAATCCAAAATATCAATTTAGAAAATCAATTTTTTTGACCTTTTCAAGGTCACTGAAGGTGAATGAAAGGTCAAATCTGAAATCTAAGGTCAGATTAGAACTTTTGAGAACCTGTAGATGTTTTTAAAAAAAAAATTTGGTCAATTTGGAGCAAGTTGAAAAATTCAAAATGGCCGCCAAATTGAAAAATTCAAAATGGCCACCATGTAATTCAGCCAGCATACCCAAAACCTAATCAGATCTTGGCAATAGTCTGCTCTTGCATCTGTAAAAATTTCAAGTTGAACGGATAAGTGGTTTTCCTGGAATTTTGATGACAAGATTTGTTGAAAAATTCAAAATGGCCGCCACGTAGTTTACCCAGCATGCCCTTAACCTAATCAGATCTTGGTACTAGTCTGCTCTTGCATCTGTAAAAATTTCAAGTTGAACAGGTAAGCAGTTATCCTGGAAATTTGATGACAAGATTTGGTTTATGTCCCGCCCGCCCGCACGCCCGTACGCCCGCCCAACAGCACAAGACGACGACAATATAGCACTTTTTCAAAGTGCGATAAAAAGTGATATCTGTGGAATCTTTTCCGTATTCCACAGATATCACTTTTTTCCATGCATTTGCAAAATATCATAAATATATATACGTGTTATTCTACAGATTTGACCTCAACTATGGGATAAATAACTTGGTAATATGAAAATTGAACCATGAATATTCAAGTTTAAGGGAATTTTGTAATACCCTGCCATGTTATTTCCCCCGAATCAGCCAACTGGTGGTGAAATTGGTACCTACTTGCATCTGAGTAATAAAGTAGGTGCGAGCAGTTTCACCACCAGGTGGCTCGCTCGGTTCAGATAGCATGGCGCGTATAGTAGAAAGTTCACTTTAACTTAAATTACATCTGTTTTAGTGGTTCAATTTTCATATAACCCTTATGTATCTAATAGTTATGCAAATTAAGATATGTCCAGTAAAAGAAAATGTTATCTATCTAATACAAGAAAAGATATTTCACTTTTTGTGATTTTGTAACATGGGGTCTATTGGGAATCAACCCGAACTAGAAGTCACATTTTCAAAAATAATAAATTTTCAAAGTTGATAAATAATTTTCGAAACCATGTTTCTAGATGTACCTTTACACGATATCAGATATGACATCCCTTTGACTGAATTTTGAATATTTAACTACATAAATCAAGATTATTTCTATTCGCATCTAGTATATTAGATATTGGCTTTCATAAACATGGTTGTTTACATTTTTAAAATAATTTCAGTTTACAAAAATCTGGAGAATTTTGCGGAATTTCCGCAATTTTAAGGACTTTAAGGTAAGAATATTGAGTAACGATGCCATCCTGAAATTAACTCTTCATACAATGTCTAATTCTGAAGTCAATGGACCGAAGATAGGTCCAATATCAGGAAACTGTGACATCTCTATTTGCTTTTAAATTTCTTTATTTTGCTTCTGGAATCTAGTGGTCAAGAAAATCTCTACTCAAGAGAGCCATGAAAAACCATGATTATATTCATGAAATGACTTACTGTATTCTCTGTAATTAGTGCCCAGGGCATTTAGAAAATTGAAAATACATCCTTCAGATCATTCTAATAAGCGCCCATACATGAAAGAAGTTAAAAATTCCCAGGAATTTCATGCATGGCAATTTTTCCTGCCAAGAATGTCTCTTTTGCAACATCAAAACGAAATAACAGCATATTTTTACATTAATGATATGTATTGTTATTGGAGAGATTATGGTAAAGATCGCTAAAATAACCCTTAGCATGCTGCTGGCGAGTGTATCCACCTGTGCTTTACTATTACGAGTGACTGCCGGCGTATCAACCCGATTCCAAACTTTTAAACACTAATACTTTTTCGCGCCATTCTTATGATCCAATCAGATTGCATGATTTATTCAGTGCCTTACATGACTTCCTGTTGACTTAGAAATGGCGATCTTTCGAAACATATTTCCCAATTCAACAATTTAAACAGAGTTTAAGTCGTTTTTAGTGAACAAATCATACAAAATGGCGGCAGAATGTTTCACAACGAAAATGTGGAGGAAATAGATTGCAATTTTGAGCTCATAAGGCTCTTGGAAGCCGATAATGGTCATCAAAAATAGAAACTAGAATATTTTCTGAACAGAAAAGTTTAACATTCGATCGCTGCAAATTCAGTTTTAGATTTTGATCAGACGTTGAATCTTCCCAGAGGCGAAGCATCTGATTCTGGAGGAGTATACACGGTATATTTATGTCCACTCATGTTTATTTACGAATGAAATTCATGAGAAATGAGCCAGGCCAGTATATCTTTCATGTGCGAAAATTTTATCCAAATTCATTAAGTAGTTATTGAGATATTAATAATCTTTAGTCCAGGCATATCATTTTTTGCACTCTTTGATAAATAAGCCAGTCGCGTGGGATATATTTGCTGAAATAAGGCAGCATGCTAAAGGATAAAGCAAGGATCTTGCAAGAATCAATGTTGACACATCTTCGACTCCCAACTGGCTATCTTGGATGCAAATGCTTATTTTTCTGTGATGTAACTGTGTGGTGTGTCATGCCCATGGAAATCATCAAAGCACCAATCAAAGGTGTCCAAATATTTGTTTCACAAGCAGTCACACTTAAAATTCTAATTTTATGGCCCTTAATGGGCCTTAATGGGGTTTCTCTTGAAAGATCCCTCAACTGATATTTATCTTACAAAATCTTATATAATCATAACTAGGTTTTGTGACATGATATCTTTACTTTAAGAACACTTATTCACCCTTGGTATGTGCAGCTAACAAAAATTGACTGGTATGGGTCAAAAGCTGGACCGGTACAGGTTAACGGTTTTATTTGAATTTAAAACAGCCATAACTTGCTCAATATTGACTTCCTCGTGTCTAATTTGAAATATATGATGCCTCCCGATGCTTTTAAGTACCCCAATTTTTTACAGATTTTTAAACGGACCAAACTCTCTAAATGCGCATTTATGCTCTTTTCTCTCGAGAACAACTGTCTCATTTAGTAGTTCTAACATATAAGATATATTTTTCCCCATCAAGGTATGATGTAAATGACATGCTATTTACATCTTGTGAGTTTCAATGACGCGCGTTTGATTTTATAAAAATGCCAAACTTTGTGACAAAGAATTTCCTCCTGCTTGCAGCGAGAAGATGGACCGGTTCGGGGCAATAGAGCTTATTAGGGGACGGGTGCTTATTACAGAGAATATGGTAGTTGACTACTTCCAGTCTGAGTTCTCCAAAGATTTTGAGTAGAGCAGACTTCATCAATTTAATCAAGTACCATGGGTACTGGGCTCACATGGCGTTGCTCAAAAGTGAATGATGGCTAAAATGACAGAAAAAGAAAAACTGATATCCTTTTTTGCCGATTTTCTATAACAAAATTATTTCATACAACTACTCTATACATTGACATGGATTTTTACAATGCAGGACACCTGAAATTATTTGTAAAGCTAGGAAATGGTTCAAAAGTGAATTTCGCGAGACAAAAATGGCGGCCATTTTGAAAATAGGCGAGCTTTTGAACCAGGAGTCATAGGGGAGTTTTCTGTATTGATGTTGAACAGAAATAACTTAAAACAGGAATCCTTTCGACAGAAGTTTTAAAACGTGCCACTATTGTTGACGGACGGATGGATGGACAGACAGACAGACAGACAAGTGAGTGATTGCAAAAGCTCACCATGTGAGCTAAAATACAAATGTGTTTATTTCCCAGAAAAGAAGTTGTATTTTATACAGATTAAGCAGAACATTACAACTATAAGAATGGAAATGGAGTAGGAGTGACGGTTTGCAATCAACCACTATTGTTGATGGAAAAGTGGATTTTGCGAGTCAGATGAACAAATCAATGTTAACTAAAATGGCTGAAAAAAAAATGTATATAATTTTTTGCTGATTTTTCTTAAATTATTTCATATAACTACTCTATACATTGACATGGATTTTTACAATGCAGGACACCTGAAATTATTTGTAAAGCTAGGAAATGGGTCAAAAGTGAATTTCGCGAGACAAAAATGGTGGCCATTTTGAAAATAGGTGAGCTTTTGAACCAGGAGTCATAGGGGAGTTTTCTGTATTGATGTTGAACAGAAATAACTTAAAACAGGAATCCTTTCGACAGAAGTTTTAAAATGTGCCACTATTGTTGACGGACGGATGGATGGACAGACAGACAAGTGAGTGATTGCAAAAGCTCACCATGTGAGCTAAAATACAAATGTATTTATTTCCCAGAAAAGAAGTTGTATTTTATACAGATTAAGCAGAACATTACAACTATAAGAATGGAAATGGAGTAGGAGTGACGGTTTGCAATCAAGGTAGGGGGAAACGAGTGAAAGTAATTTTGGGTAAAAATTTCAAATCGTGAATTTCAATTCTTTCAATTGATATTTGGAACAAATGCGAGTAAAACCTGAGTATAGGAGTCAGTCTTCCTACCACTACTTTTTATTTCATCATTCAGTATATATGAATAAAAATTAAAAAATGATCATTCCTGTGGTAAAAAACATGCCTACCTGAGAAAGAAAACATACTTGAGAAACTATTCGGGACACTGGTTTAACGAGTGAGTCTAAGTACTGAGATTCGAGTTGCACCGCTAGAAGTAACCCCATACCCCTAATTTGAGTTGCAAAATTCACATTTTAAACTTGCAGAAAACTAAAAAATGTTGCCATTTGATTGCTTCTGATTGACACACTGAAAGACATTCAGACTATATACATACCCCATTACTTGTATACTCCAGTTTTCCATTGTGTGTTTGAATAAAGGCTGGAAAAGATTAATAGTATATTACTCTTTGACATGCACAACATGAAAAGTCTGCCTATTTTCTAATCCAATATTGATATTTTCTTTTTTTATTCCATTTTATTTCATACATAATATTTTAGCATTCATTTCTCCTACCATGACATTTCATAATCTTAATTCAAATAGCATTAGCAAATTTGGGATATTCACCATACTTGATTTTGAGACGCACAAATTCACATTTGAATGACTACACTAGAATTTTATGATTGCAAGCAATCTTACGGAGGCCCCGAAGGCATTTTTAACAAGCAAAAGGTCAAATCTCAAGTCTAAGATCATGTTAGAACTCACAGAAACTTGAAAATGATGTTTAAAAAAAGATTCGTTGAAATTGAACCAAGTTGAAAGTTGGTCTTGAAAAATTTCGCAATTTGACTTATTTCAGTTTTTGAGCTCTAATATCTCAAAACTGGCGCAAAATTTTAATAAATAGTCAATTGCTAATATGTGAAGAACATTTAGAGGAATGTATATCCTAACTTTTATCCAAAAATTTAGATTTGTAGTCATCAGTTTTTAGAAAATACAGTTTGTGATTTAGTTTGATGACCTTGACCTTTGACCTTGCAAATTTGACTTTTTAAGACCTCAATAGGTCTTTTTGATTAAATGTACCTAAATCTGAATCTAAAAAATCAATTTGAAAAATCAACTTTTTCAACCTTTTGAAGGTCTTTGAAGGTCAGGCAAAGGTCAAAGGTAAAAACTAAGGTCAGCTTTGAGCTCATGAGAACTTGTAGATGATTTAAAAATAATAATTGGTCAATTTGAAGGAAGTTGAAATTTAGTCTGGAAAAGTTTCGAAATTTGACCTTTTTTCAGTGTTTGAGTTCTAATATCTCAAAACTGGTACACAGTTTTTATAGATAGTAAATTGCTAATATGTGAAGAACCTTTAACAGAATATATATTCTGACTTTCATCCAATAAACAATTTGTGATTTAGTTTGACGACCTCGTATTCACTCCACTATTTTTCTCCCAGACTTAAGATAACTTTCCCCTTATTTCGATATATTTACTTGATTTTATCAGAAGAATGTCAGAAACACACCGCTGGCAAGTTGTCTGGCACAACACAATCGAGTGTAAGTACTTTTTAAGTGAATCTGGTCGCCAGATTAACTAAAAATGGCCCTGTTGAATTTCAACAAAAAATATGCTTTTTTTGTAGAATGGACGAAGCGGCAAATTTAAATTTTAAAGTTTATTACCAAAAATTTAAACTTAGATTACTTTTTTCATAAATATTTGATAAACAGGCATAATCAGTACGTATACAGGGGCGGATCTGGGAACCAACAAGGGGGGGGGGGCCCAAACCACAGATGTTGGGCGGATCGTTTAGTAGTAGGATCTCATAAGCTCAAAGAATAATACAGAAGATGCGTCACCTTAAATTGGAAAATTCCAAAAAAAAGTGACCACCTTTCAAAACGTTCCTTATACAAAATGGTACCTGCTTCCCCGCAACAGATTTTGCAATTATTTTATAGCTGAGATCTTCATCTTTCTATTTCTACTGGTTTGGTTCGAGTAAATAACCTATGGATGCAGTTATTTGACTTTTAATGCGGCGAATATTTTTCACGAGATCCGGACTCTTATGTGTCCAGATATCATTGTACTGATGACGTCTCATTTCTGGAACAACGGGAGCACCATTCAGATTTGGACAGACAAGAGTCCGGCGATAAAATATCACTGTTTTTGCCTCTTATCAACGCAGTATTGCTTGAATAACGGTCATTGGTGATAAAAAAAAGTTAAAGAATAACAAGACACTTCGAATGAGGTATGATTTGTCTCATATTTTTCAGTAATGGCTCCACAATCGTCATTTTAAAATTTGAAATTTTCTGAGGTGTCTCATCTTGAGGAACATTTATTGAGCTACTGATTCTTCTACAAAAGAATCTGGCCGGGATCTATGGCCAAAACTTTAAAAAAAATTTGGTCCCCTAAAACCCAAAAGTGGTCCCAAATTTTGGAAAATTTAAGGCCTATTTGCTTCAAAATTTGGTCTAAAACTAATAAACAAGGTCTCAAAAGGCCCAGTAATGCTAAAAAAGGCCCACTTTTTTGGACCTTTAGGCCTTTTTTTGGGCCCAATTTTTTTTCTGGGCCCCCCCAGATCCGCAAATGTTGCACTTTAGGGAGTAAAAATTATTAAAATGTTGCACTTTCAGAATAACAAAATCCCAAAATGTTGCAATATATAGTTCAAATGTAGTTGAAAGTAGGAGAAAAGATTATGAAATTTTATTATATTTTGCTAATTTTCAGTTTTTTTTAATTTAGCAGCTTTTAATTTTCGAGGTAGGTGTCCTACTTCTTTTTTTAGTTGGAGATTTCTTTATACTTGTATGAATGTTTGTAGAGTCTTAGTGGGTTTACTATTATACTTTGCAAATTAGAACTTTCAAATTTTGCAGCTAATGTATTTCACAAATTTAGTAGCATACAAAATTTACCGGGAGTACAACATTTGCTTTGTGTTCATACATCAACGAGATGTGTTTTGTGATTATCTAATACATTTATCAAACTAATATACAGTTTTGTTTCTAGGCTATTTCATCTTTCTACAAACTTTTGACTTTCCTGCATTTTAAAAAAACTTGCTCATACAGTCTTCCAATTGATTCTTCTGAGTATATTGATCGTGAAAAATAAGACTTAACTGAAAATGATTCTGTCACTTATCTTCAGAGTGATCTTTATACATACGGTGTTAAAGTGAGCAGTGTGCGCACATGCGCTGCGTGCTCAAAATAAAGTTTATCAAAACTTCCGGAATTAACAAAGAAGTCTGTTTTACTCTCTATTTCACATCACATATATCTCTTGGATATTGTGCTCATGCTCAATGGTTGGCACAACTAGTCGGGTTTCTGTAAATTTGTAAAAAATCTTCGATTATTTAAAAGCATAAATCTAAGTTAATCAGTCTCTCTAATGCCAGGCAGTGCTCCCAAAAAGAGCAGTTATGCTACATGGTCAGTTGTTTGGAACAAAAACGACGATTGTAAGTAATTATTGAAGATATGTTTTTAGCTGAGCATGTGAAAATTTTTGAAATTATTTTTTATAATACTGTCAAATAATGGAAATTGGATTGTGTGTATCCTGACACCCCTGCAAAATAATGGACTCTCCCACTTGGTCCCATGGATCCACTTGCAAAATATAATGTAACAGAGTACATCACATCATTCCGTTATTTTAACCATATGAACTTGTACCCAACATTAAAGGTCTCAGGATAGATATCAGAAATTAACACCAAACAGGAAACAGGAAAAAAAAACATGTGGATTTTAGAATTTTTTGAAGTAAGATAGCAGAGTTCTACTTTGATCTTCAGTCAGTTGTACCACTCCTATACAGTAAAACCTATCTAATCCGAATTAGGAGGTGTTCATATTTCGAGGTTTTTGCATTCGCAATAATCCGGATTCTGAAGAAATGTGAACGTATTCTCGGTAAATATTTATAGTTCTTTTGACCACATAGCTTTATGGCGTTCCAGAAATTTGAAAATTTGATTCAAATGAATCTAATCATGCTGAAAAGCCCCATTTTGAATGAGACCATTCAAGATTATTTCCCAAAGTTTTGATATCATGACAAAATTTGAGCAATTTTGTATAAAACATCAAAATTTTTATGAAAAGTGTTCAGATTAGACAGGGGAATTTTTCAAATATGACTGTTCACTGTTCAAATTGGGAGGTGTTCACATTTCAAGGTTCTTTTAACATGGGAGTCGATGGGAGAAAAAAATGGGACCGAAAAAAGTGTTCAGATTGGGAGGTGTTCAGATTAGCCAAGTGTTCAGATATACAGGTTCTACTGTATATCATTTACATGACCAGGATCACAATGGTCATGGTCAAAATAACCCTTACCATGCTGAAAAAGCTTTTTCAGCCCTCTGAAAATGTGACTGAAAAAGTTAAAAGTTAGCTTTTCGGAAAGGTCACTGAACAGAATATTTTGAATTTTTCAGACAATGTTCCAAACATATTTCTTTAGATGATAGGTGCTTTGAAAATTAAATGAAAAAAAAATATTTGAAAAGCTATCTTTTTTTCCTTTTTATGACTACAATTTTTGTTTCAGACAGTTTTTCTAATTTTCAAAGCTCCTATCATTTAAAGAATTTGTGAGTTCGATTCCCCACTGGGGTGGACTGACTTTTTTTTTAAACAAACCTGCCGGAGATTACCCTTACTTCATTTTAGCGAAATTTCAACTCAAACTTGTGACAAATGCATTTTGCATACGCTGGTATGAAGCCTTAGAGACACTCATTTTGGTAAATATGATTTCTGGCATATACTTTTCGACAGTTTGTGGGAGTTTGTGACACTTAAATGTTAAGATTCAAGAAAATATGCCAACTATACGACTTATCAATTAAGGTTCAGGTGGAAAGAAACATTTTTGTAAAAAATTGCTATACCTGCACATATTTTCTGGTACAAAATTGTTGCATGTGTGTTTTTCCTTGCTTTTTTAGGAAAGTATCATTATATTGTCTAATTTTAGTAAACCTGGAAACAGGTCAATGGTTATCCCGTGCCAGGACTATAGTCCTGAGAACGTCTCAATCTTTTGCCTGTACGATTACAACATGGGAGAATTTTCTTCGCTTCTTACATTAAAGATACCTACTTCAATAAATTCCTGGGTATTTTAGCATTCTCCTTGTGTAGTTGAATCTACAATTGTCTGAGATTATCGGCAGAACGAAGAAATTTTCGTTTTTGATCGCAATATCTGCGTGTAATATTTAACTTATTTCAACCGTCAAATTCCTCCATTTATTGGTACTTCCAGGCCACTTCTGGGCCAGTCAACCGGGGAATCTCCTTTTAAATCCAACCGCTATCTTGAAAAGTGATGGAATCACTTTCGCTGAAAAAGAAAAATTTTCCCGTTCTGCCGATAAACCCAGACAATTGTGGATTCAACTACACGAAAAGAATGCTAAAATACCAAGGAATCTATTGAAGTAGGTATCTTCAGTGTAAGAAGCGTAGAAAATTGTCTCATGTTATAATCGTACAGGCAAAAGATTGAGACGTTCTCATGACTTTAGTCCTGGCACGGGATAAGTCAATGGTAGCTCCTGTGTTGTCTGGAAACTTGGGAAGATAATTTGGAAAAATAGAAAGTGTGAAATATCAGAATTTCCTGGAGTTCCCATTGACCTCTTACCAGATATACTAAAAGAAAACAATGTAATGATACTTTCCTGAAAAAAGCAAAGAAATTAACACGTGCCTTCATACTATATAGTGTACCAGAAAGTAGCATGTGCAGGTATAGCAATTTTTTACCAAAATTGTTATTTTCCAGCTGTACCTTAATTTGTATCAGCACTGTAATATTCTGTAATATTCAGCTTACCATTGCCTTTCCCTTGGGCCTATGACCCCCACATTCATGGGAATATTTTTCAGATCAAATTACTCAGAAAAATCAATCGGAAGACTGTAGTCTATAGGTCATCTAATTCTTCATCACAGCTTTCACGCTTTTTTGATACCAAGTTTAAATCCTAACCATAAAATCGTATTTGAGTTGGATTTACACGATGTATTATTTTGTAAACTGGCGTTGTGCATATCCATCATTTATGTTTTGTTGGCAACAAATATTTTAATCAATCAAATTTTTAGATGTCAAACTTTGAGACATATTATGTTATATAAAATGCATGGAAATAGGAAATGTAAATATCACAAACCTTGGCCATGACTCTCTACAGCATCAACGCGTACATGATGAGACGTAAAAATGCTACTTAGGATGAATATTTTAGCTATTATGGCCATTACTATCCTTTTGCCTTTAACGGCGGCCATGCTTTTTTTGTTATTTTAATACTTTCGTATTTATAAAAATATTTATTTTCTTCGTTCAACGTCATTAGCTATATAACACGAAAGTGTATTTCATATGCCCATGATTTAATTCATAGGAAAAGAAATCCAATGGATTTGATTTAAGGCAAAACAGAATATTTATTTAATTCGTTAACGTTTACTGAAAATTAATTAACTCAGTAGCCATAGCTATTCCGAACTCATTTTGTCAAACAAAATTTGATTGGTTCTCGTTATTTTATCAATTTTCACAATAACTGAACTTATGTTTTCTAAACCAATTCATTTGTCAAATTCTAGAAGATTTAGTCAATTTGCTAGGATTCAAGATTAGTGAGTTCGTTGCTGATTTCTTTTGGCATTTAAAATGGCCATCTGTCTAATATCTTGAGGTTAAATCTAAGAATGACGAAAACCAATCAAAATTGTCCTTTTGAACATTGATGGAAACTCTTTCATGGGAACAAAATATAAAATATTTTTATCGATTTGTTGATGAAGCCTCTTATTCGTAAGTACCGAGTTCTTATTTACAGTTTGGACCATAAATTAATGAGTTTTCGATTTTAATTCCATCTCCGAACCATGGGGAGTAAGTCACCACTCCCTTTTCTGTAGCCTTCCAATATTGATTTTTCTGAGTTGACTCTTACAAGGCCTACCCTAGTTCAACGTTGTTTTCTTGGGGCCGTTATTGAGTTTAACCTCCTTACTATTCTTTCCTTTATTGCATGTTCTGGATCCATCCAAACTATTTTTCCGCGATAACATTATTACTTGACAACAATAACATCAAACACATATCATCTAGCGATTTAAGGTCTCATGGAAGTTAACAGGAAATGACAAAACAAAAAATGACAAAGCCATGCTGGATTTTGAAAATTTTTTGAACCAAGATAACAGAGTTCTGTTTGGACCTCCAGTCAGTTTAACTAGTTCCACATATCATTTACATGATCGGGAACACAGTTGAAATGGTCAGAATGACCATAAACATGATAGAATAACCTTTTTAGCCCTCTGAAAATGTGACTGAAAAATAGCTAAAAGTAGGTGCTCAGGAAAGGTCAATGAACAGAATCTTTTGATTTTTTCAGAAAATGTGTCCAATATATTGCTCTAAATGACACAATCTTTGAAATTTTAAAAAATCATCTGAAACAATAATGGCTGTAGTAAAAAGGAAAATAGATCGATTTTCAATTCAGTTTTTTTCAATTTTTTCTTTTTCTAAGAATGATATCAAATTTTTTTGAATTGTATCATTTAGAGCAATATATTGGGCACATTTTCTGAAAAAGTCAAAATATTCTGTTCAGTGACCTTTCCTGAGCACCTACTCTAAGCTATTTTTTAGTCACATTTTCAGAGGGCTGAAAAGGTTATTCTATCATGTTTATGGTCATTCTGACCATTTCAACTGTGTTCCCGGTCATGTAAATGATATGTGGAACTAGTTAAACTGACTGTAGGTCCAAACAGAACTCTGTTATCTTGGTTCAAAAAATTTTCAAAATCCAGCATGGCTTTGTCATTTTTTGTTTTGTCATTTCCTGTTAACTTCCATGAGACCTTAACACAATATTATTGTGTTAAATGTTCATTTGAAGTAGTAAAATGAGGCTACACTTACCAATCTCTAAAATGACACTTCCGCATGCCCGTCATTGTGTCTGTCCGTCCATGGGTGTTAAAATTAAACTATTGACAAAACAAAATTGTTGTCAAATAGAATTGATAATTATTATCGCGATTACTCGGGATAAAAGATCAATTTTTAGGATAACAGGTATCTTTGATTGATTTATATTGGACGTCACTCGACTTTTTGGTGATTTTGAAGTCATTTCTTCATTTTACAGTTCACAATCAACTTCTGTAATAATTATCCCAACGAACGAAGTTTGGTCTATTGTGAAACCGTCAGTCAGTCCATCAGTCCCTCCATCTTTTTGGAAGATAACTCAAATACTAGTGCCCAGATTTCCTTTATATTTGGTGGAAAGATGTGTATTCAGTGTTCGCCTTGACGCCGTTTTTTGCCATTTTTACGGAAATTTCAGAAGGTTGGACGTAAAAATCAAAATCAACTTTCGTCCCTAGGACGCAAAAATTATAAACTGCTTCAAGATAACTTTTACTGCAGCACAGTAGCGGTGAAACATGATTTTCATCAAGATTTTCAAACCTACTTCCTTGATATACAAGCAATGATCCAGGTATATTTATATCGACAAATCTGATTGGCTATCATGACTACCGAAGATTAACAGAGTTTCCAGTATGAGACATAGATTTTGATTGGTTCCGATATATTCCGGAAAATGCCGCAATCGAAATGGAAGATCAAAACATACAATATTGCAGAAATCCCCTGTGGTTCCCCACAAATTTCCACTAGAAACCATTATATATTGATCTAATGTTATACATCAAGATAATTGTTTAATGATAGATCGAGGTTTTTCATCTAAAAGTCTTCAGAATAAGGAGAAATGTTAATAAAAAGAAGCAAAAGTTCACGACCTTGACATGACCTTCAAGATCGCAAGTTCGTAAAATGTGAAAACAGAACTCTTAATTTGAGCATTTCCTTTATTCATTTCGGACTATTTTTGTATAACATTACTTAAGAATTGTGTGAAAAGGACCCAGTGATAGATATTTATCGGGAGGATGCATCAAATTACAATATATGTCATTTTTATCCCATTTTAGTGTAAGCACTCTATTATCGCCCACTTTATTTTCACTTTACAATATTTTCTTGAACTCTGTGAAGAAATAAGAGGGACGCAAAAAAATTAGATGGGGACTCAAATTTTTCAAATGGGTTGCATCCCTGGGACTCAGAAATTTTAATGGCTAGCGTGAACACTGGTATTGGTAAATTGTTTAACGCCAAAATTTTTCTCAAGATGGCCACTCGTGCTTTAAATTTGGCGGGAAATTTTTGATCATAAGTTTTTTATTTAAACCAAAGTAATAAATATTATTGTTTGAAATTTTGGTAGTATACAGGATGTCAAATAGGTATGTTCTCCCCTTAATTTCAAAAGTATGAACTTTTGTACAAGTTTACATATTTTTTCTTTTAGAGTATTCAGTTGTTAGAGTGAATAGCACGTTTCATGCCCATATCTTACTTAGAACTTCAGTTTTATCAATTCTGTAATAATTAACTAGGGAGAATTATCTACGCCCCTTACACTTAAGATACCTACCTCAATAGATTCCTTGGTATTTTAACATTCTTTTCGTGTAGTTGAATCCACAATTGTCTGGGTTTATCGGCAGAACGAAGAAATTTTCATTTTCGCAATATTTGCATGTAATATATAACTTATTTCAACCATCAAATTCCTCCATTTATTGGTACTTCCAGGCCACTTTCCAGCCAGTCATACAGGGAATTCCCTTTTAAATCCAACCGCCATCTTGAAAAGTGATGGAATCTCTCTCGATGAAAAAGAAAAATGTTCCCGTTTTGCAGATAAACCCAGACAATTGTGGATTCAACTACACGAAAAGAATTAAGTGTAAGGGGCGTAAATAATTCTCCCAAGTTGTAATCGTACAGGCAAAAGATTAGGCTCGGTCCAGGACCATATAGACTAATAGTCCTGAAATGGGATAACATTATGACATTTCATGCGAGTTATGTTTCCAGAATATTTTCTACTTCTTTTGCATTTGTAAAGTGTCAAATGGTTTTCTTAATACATCTATGGAGGGTTTCTTTTTTGAATAATGAGTTCCACCAGATTCTCTTTCCAATAGGACATCCACCTGATCTTTTGGGAAAGCCCCCTATAATTCTCTGTGATTTTGATGTAAAATACACGGCGCCCCGGGATTTTACTGTAATCAAGTCCTCTAAAATCCCCTTTCCATCAATTTTGGACAAACAATGCCATCCTTCTTATTTCATAGTGATCCATTTTAACGGTAAAGTTTGTCCCAGCATGCATCTATTTGAATCATCATGAATAATGAGTGGCATAACAAGTGACTTTATATAATTCTAAATGCAGGCCTCGCGCTTAACTTTTTTTATCAGGTAGTTGTTTCACTACTTAGTGAATTTTCCAGGTAGCTATTTGAGAGAACCAGATAGTGAAGATTTGAATGATATGGTCTCCCCGATTATTTTTATTATTTCCGCTAGAGACCGTTCGATATCGATCTAATATTATACTGAAAGATATTTGTTTATTATGATAGATCTTCATTTTTCATGTAAAAGTCGTAAGAATAACGAGAAATGTTAGAAAGAAAGAGGAACTGTCAAACTAAAGTTCATGACCTTGACCGTCATATGTTGACATGCGCAAAAAAGCTGCGCGAAAGACTACTTGGTTGAATGCAGAAACGACTCTAAATTTGAACATTTCTTTCATTCATTTCAGCCTATTTTGGGATAATATTAGTTTAGAATTGCGTAAGAAGGACCCACAGATACACATTTATCGGGAGGATGCATTGATTTACAACATGTGTCATTTTTATCACGTTTTAGTGTGAGTACTCTCAGACTTGCCAACCTAAAATGAAAAATTTTCAGAAGATTTTCAAAAAATTGCGGTACTTTCACAGGAGTTTTTTCAAAATCCAGTAGTTTTACGGGAGTTTTTTGAAAAAAAGCGGGAGTTTTTACGGATGATTTTTTAAAAAATGGTAGTTTTTACGGGATATTTAAAAAAACGGGAGTTTTTGTGGTAAGTTTTAAAAAAACGGGAGTTTATACGGGAGATTTTGAAAAAACAGGAGTTTTTACGGGAGGTTTTTTAAAAAAGGTATTTTTCACTGTAAATTTTAAAAAACGTGACTTTTTTACGGAAGATTTCTGAAAAAACTCCTGTTTTTTCTGAAATCTACGGTAAAAACTCCCGTTTTTTCAAAATCTATTGTAATAACTCCTGTTTTTTCAGATTTGCGGTAGGTTCTGAAAAAACAGAAGTTATTACGATAGATTTTGAAAAACCGGGAGTTTTTACCGTAGATTTCAGAAAAAACGGGAGTTTTTACAGTATATTTCAGAAAAAACTGGAGTTTTTACCGTAGATTTC